GTGAAAGCGGCAGCACTTTGGGTCGCCTCGTGCAGTGAAAGGCGGGGGAATATTCCAAGCTTATGTTGGAATAGATTATAGAAAGTGTTTGGCTATCAGAGGTTCAGGGTCGAGGCACAGGTATAGCTAGTGTAGGATAAGAGAACGAGAAAGAGGAGAGAAGAGAGAACGAGGGAAAGGAGGGCGAAACAACAGAACATAACACAAGGGAAGAAGCGTCGTATGTACTGCAGATGTACATACAGGAGGATACACTACACGTGGTCTCCCTACACAAGAGAATACACTACACGTGGTCTCCCTACACAAGAGAATACACTACACGTGGTCTCCCTACACAAGAGAATACACTACACGTGGTCTCCCTACACAAGAGAATACACTACACGTTACAAGAGATAAACTAACTGCTAAATGAGTTAAACTAACGTGGCTTTAATTAGGTTAAATACACGTTGTTCCTAACGAAATACGTTACCCGCGTTACAATGCCGTAAACTAACGTTAAAACCTTAAAGCATTCTGGCTTAAACAAGTTAAATACATAAACTATCTTAAATGAGTTAATACTATCTACATGGGTTAAATAACAAGAGAATAAACTAACGTTAAATGGCGTTTAGTAGGTTAAATAACGTTAACCTTCAAATTTAATGGCGTTAATAACGTTAAATGCGCCGTTTAACTGGAATAAATGCCGAAAACTAACGTTAATGGCGTTAAAGCTATCGTTAAATAGCGTTTACCTTACGTAAATAAGTTAAACTATCGAGGAAGGATTAAAGAACGTTAAATGCCATTAAAAACGTTAAATGGCTTTAATAAGGTTAAACCTCGTTAAACTAATGTTCGTGGCGTTAAAGAACGTTAAATGGCGTTTATTAAGGTTAAATGACGTTAACAATGAAAATGGCGTTAAACTAACGTTAACAAGTTAAACAATGTTAAATGGCGTTAAACTAAGTTAAACACGTTTAATTAAGGTTAAATAACGAGAACTAACGTTAAATGGCTTAAACAAAGTAAATGGCTTAAACTAGCTTAAACACGTTAAATAGCTTAAATGGTCTAAACTAACGTTAAATACGTAAACTGGTCTAAATGGCAAGAACTACGTTAAATGGGTTCCCTAGCAAAAATGGCGTTAGAACAACGAAAATGGCGTTAAACTAACCTAAATGGCGAGAACTAACGTTAAATGCCTTAAACAGCGTGAATGGCTTTGGTGGGTTAAGAAATATCATAAAGAACGTTAAATGGCGGTAGTGGGTTAAGACGTTAAACTAATGTAAATGGCTTAAAAGACGTTGGTGGCATTGGTTCCCCACAAAGCGTTAACTACGTTAAATGGCGTTAAAGAAATTAATTGCCGTTGTCTAACGTTAAATGACGTTTAATTAAGGTAAATCCCTTAAAAGACGTTAAATGGCACGGTCTAACACAAATACGTTAAACTAACCTAAATGGAATAAACTAACGTTCTCCACGTTAAACTAACGTTAATGCCGTAAACTACGTGAAATGGCGTTTATTAAGGTAAATATCATAAAGGACGTGAAATGGCGGTAATTAACACAAATAATATAAACTGGTCTAAATGGCAAGAATTAGGTTAAATGACGTTCCCTAATGTTAAATACGTTAAACTGGTCTAATTGGCAAGAATTATGTTTAATGGGTTCCCTAACAAGAATGGCGTTAACGTGGTTTAATACGTTAAACTAACGTTAACGCGGTAATTAAAGCAAATAATACAAACAACGTTCTCCCTACACAACTAATACAAATACGTTAAACCCTACACAATGGCGTTAAACAACGTAAATGGCAAGAACTACGTTAAATGGGTTAAACAACAAGAACACGTTTAATTAACACAAATATCGTTAAACTAAGTTAAACACGTTAAACTAACGTTAACAAGTTAAACAACACGTGGCTCGTTAACAACGAAAATGGCGTTAAACTAACGTTAACACGTTAAACTAACGTAAATGGCACGAACTACGATTAAATGCTTACTAACGTTAAGTAGCGTTAAATAGGAAGTAATATCGCTTATGGTACTATTTACGACAATACTTTTGTTGTTTGTTTACAATATCCTCAGAATATAATGTTTCCATTGCTGTTCACTCAACGAAACAATTTTTTTTTGTTTTTTTACTGCTCTTGGCTTATATTACCAGTATATAATTTTTCAACACTAGTCGTCACGCTAACAGCCATATACTACATCCAATTTGCAATCAATTTTTGTCACTAATATTCTACTGCTGCTCTAGTCTTCCCCAATACATGGTAACAGGGCCGGAACCTTGACACCGAAAATGTTCAACACCCCCTACATCCTTTTGACATTTTATGCTCTAACCGATAAACTCACACCAGTTAATGATATATTATATTTGTTGAAATTTCAGTCATCTCACGCATCAACAACTGGTACTATGAGATTTCTTTGATTAGTATGGAAAGATCAGAGGTGATGATAATATTAGTTAATCGTCCAGGAAATTTATGGCGAGTTTTAAAGGAATTTATCGAAAGTGAAACTCGTTTAGATAATTAGTGTCCGTTCATTATAGGCAGTGTGCTGTGGTTTACGAGGCCACGATAAAACTATCACCAAAGGCGTCATTATTGACCTTCAAGAAACAGGTCCTCACTGTTAAACTCGTATATCGTAATGTTAAATAATAACGTTAAATAGTAAGGTTAAATAAGTTAATAACGTTATGGCGTTTATAAACTGTAAGCCAGCGTTCACTAACGAAGTTAAACTACATGGCGCGTTAAAACGTTTAATTGTAACGTAAACTTTAAATGTTAAAATGGCGAACGTTAAATAAACACTTAAATGCACAACTGTTAAATGTTAACTAACGTACGTTATACTAACAAAATAAACTACGTTATGCTTAAACTACGTTATACTATATGTTAAATGTTAATGGCGTTTAACATGGCACGTTAATGAAGTAACTAACGATACGTTAAACAAACGTTAAATGTGGTTAATAACAAAAATGGAGTTAAACAACGTTAATATGACTGCGTTAACTAACGATAAATACAGTATTAATTCGCGTTAAATTATTTAAACTAACGTTACCTGAAGTTAGAACTAACGCAAATACGTTAAATTAACGTTAAATGAAGTTAAACTAACGTTGTTGGCGTCAAACTAGAAAATGGCGTTTAATCTAAGTTAAATTAAGTCTAAACTAACGTTAAATGAGGTAAACTCGTTAAATAGCGTTAAATTAACGTTAAATGAAGTTAAAGCTAAGTTAAAGGCGTTAATAACATTAAATAGCATTAGAATAACGTTAAATGACGTCTATCCTAACGTTAATTGGTTAAACTAACGTAAAATGGCGTTAACTAAGTCATGGTGTTTAATTAAGGTGAAATAACGTTAAACCGTGAAATGCATTATCCGGTAAAGCGGTTAGAGCGTTAAACTCGTTAATTATTAAACTAACGATCGTTAAACTAACGTTTATAAACCGAGTTAAACGAGAAAATGGCGAAGAATGGTAACTAAACTAAAGGCTTAATTAAGGTTAAAGATGTTAAAGTTATGTTAAATGGCGTTAAACTACGTTAAATGCGTTAAATAAGTAAATGGCGTTTTTAGGTTGAAATCACACAAACAACGTTTATGGCGTTAAACTAACGTTCAATGCCGTCTAAATAATTAAATGAGCGTTTAATGTAGGTTAAATATCGTTAAACTAATGTTCAGCGTTAAACTAACGTTATAATGGCGTTTAATTAAAGGAAGACGTTAACACTAATGTTAAATGGCGTTCTCCGTTAAATGGCGAAACTTGATGGCGTTAAACGCGTTAAATGGCGTTTAATTGTTAAAGTAACGTAAACTAACGTGAATGGGTTAAACTACGGTGGCGTTGGCTCACGAAAATGACCGTTGGGACTAACGCTTTGGCTTAGACTAGAGTTAGAGGCGTTAAACTACGTTAAATGGCGTTAAACTAGCGAAAGGATTAAACTAATTAAATGGCGTTTAACAAGTTAAATGACAACTAATGTTAGAATGGCGTAAAACTGAACGTTAATTGGCGTTAAATTAATGTTTAAGCGGCGTTGAACAAGTTAAATGCGTTTAATTAAGGCTAAATAACGTTAAACTAACGTTAAATGGCGTTAAACTAACGTTAAATGGCGTTAAACTAACGTTAAATGACGTTTAATTAAGGTTAAATGACGTTAAACTAACGTTAAATGGCGTTAAAGTAACGTAAAATGGCGTTAAACTAACGTTAAATGGCGTTAAACTAACGTTAAATGGCGTTAAATTAACGTTAAATGGCGTTAAACTAACGTTAAATGCCGTTAAACTAACGTTAAATGCCGCTTAATTAATGTTAAATATCGTTAAACTAATGTTAAATGGCGTTAAACTAACGTTAAATGGCGTTTAATTAAGGTTAAATGACGTTAAACTAATGTTAAATGGCGTTAAACTAACGTTAATTGGCGTTAAATTAATGTTTAATGGAGTTAAACTAACGTTAAATGGCGTTTAATTAAGGCTAAATACCGTTAAACTAACGTTAAATGGCGCTAAACAAACGTTAAATGGCGTTAAACTAACGTTAAATGCCGTTAAACTAACGTTAAATGGCGTTTAATTAAGGTTAAATATCGTTAAACTAATGTTAAATGGCGTTAAACTAACGTTAAATGGCGTTTAATTAAGATTAAATGGCGTTAAACTAACGTTAAATGGCGTATAATTAAGGTTAAATAACGTTAAACTAACGTTAAATGGCGTTAAACTAACGGTAAATGGCGTTAAACTAACGTTAAATGACGTTAAACTAACGTTAAATGGCGTTCAACTAACGTTAAATGGCGTTAAACTAACGTTAAATGGCGTTAAACTAACGTTAAATGGCATTAAACTAACGTTAAATGGCGTTAAACTAACGTTAAATGGCGTTAAACTAACGTTAAATGGCGTTTCAGGGTGGACACAAGAATGTGTTAGTCATGTATTATAAGGGCAGAGGGCGAGGGAATTTTTAAAGTTTAAGTTACCTTACTGTAGGAGGGGGCTGTCCTCCCCAGCTGTTACAGGTCAGTTCAACCATTGTTCCTGCCACCACCTCTTTATGAGGGTCACCTTCGAACTCTGGAGGACCCGCTGGCTCTGTAGGTATCAACAGACACAGCTACTGATAAGGTAACGACTGTGCCGTAGTTTTTTTGTTTAATATTGAGGGACAAATATTCATGGCATATCTTTCACGGACTTCTGATGTACAGAAGAACAGACAAAAAAATAAATTTGTACAGAAAAGTGTTGGCAGTCAGCTTGGTTACGGTACTCAAGTGTTTGTCCTCTAAGAAGACAACTACGTGTGAAAGGCGACACTTACTGGTGATAGCCATGAGGATGGTCTTGGTCACATGCTCCTTGATGGATGGGTTGATGGCTCGACACTCGACTTTGATCTGTGTGTCTTTGGTCGACCTCGCCACCAAGTGAGTCAGCTCAGAGGATGTGGCCCAGCCGCCCGTGCTGACCCGACTCATTATCTCTCGCGTTGAGTCAACTTGTTCACCTGCGGGAGTCACCCACACTCACCAGTTACTCACCCGTCCTCAGGGGCGTGTGTCTTATTGTTTAAGGGAGGGGGGGGAGGGGGGACTTTGACAAATATGTGAGGTGATGCAGGAGGGCGATCAGGGAGTTTATTGTGAGCCTGGGGCCTTCAGGTGAGAGATGGGGAGAGACTGCTCAGGAGAAGTTAAATCATTCTATTTCAAAATCAAACTTTCTAGTGGATAACATATTTGGCAATAAGTTATTAAGAAGTTACAAGAGACTAGTCAGGGTGATGGTATATTGGTGGGGGAGGAGAGGGTGTGTGTGTGTGTGTGTGAAGAGTGTAGGTGAGGGAAAGGGTGGGACTGTGTATGTGTATATGTATGTATGAAGTAAGGGAAGTAAGGAAAAGAGTGGGTGAAGCAAGGGGAGTGGAGGGGGTAAATGGAATGGACGGATAAGGCGTGAGTGAGGTTAGGTTAGGGTACTCACCGTTGATTACTCAGGTAAGGAGAGGTACTTACCGTTAACCAGCCAGGTGAGGGAGGCAGGGGGGTTGGACTCGCTGGTTTCACAGGTGAGGGACACAACGACGCCCTCCTGAACCTGCGCCGGTCCCGACACGCTGACTGATGATGGTGCGTCTGTCGGAATGGCCGTGTGCTCTGTAAGTCTAGGGAGAACCGTGTGCTCTGTAAGTCTAGGGAGAACCGTGTGCTCTGTAAGTCTAGGGAGAACCGTGTGCTCTGTAAGTCTAGGGAGAACCGTGTGCTCTGTAAGTCTAGGGAGAACCGTGTGGCTTGTAAGTCTATAAGGAGAACCGTGTGCTCTGTAAGTCTAGGGAGAACCGTGTGCTCTATAAGTCTAAGGAGAACCGTGTGCTCTGTAAGTCTATAAGGAGAACCGTGTGCTCTGTAAGTCTAAGCTCTGTAAGAGAGAACCGTGTGCTCTGTAAGTCTATAAAGAGAACCGTGTGCTCTGTAAGTCTATAAAGAGAACCGTGTGCTGTAAGTCTATAAAGAAGAACCGTGTGCTCTGCTCTGTAATTCTATAAAGAGAACCGTGTGCTCTGTAAGTCTATAAAGAGAACCGTGTGCTCTGTAAGTCTATAAAGAGAACCGTGTGCTCTGTAAGTCTATAAAGAGAACCGTGTGCTCTGTAAGTCTATAAAGAGAACCGTGTGCTCTGTAAGTCTATAAAGAGAACCGTGTGCTCTGTAAGTCTATAAAGAGAACCGTGTGCTCTGTAAGTATATAAAGAGAACCGTGTGTTCTGTAAGTCTATAAAGAGAACCGTGTGCTCTGTAATTCTATAAGTCTATAAAGAACCGTGTGCTCTGTAAGTCTATAAAGAGAAGTAGTCTATAAAAGAACCGTGTGTTCTGTAAGTCTATAAAGAGAACCGTGTGCTCTGTAATTCTATAAAGAGAACCGTGTGCTCTGTAAGTCTATAAGGAGAAGAGCTTGTGTTATCCTTTGATGGATATACTGTATATATTTATTAATTTATGCTGTGAAACTACAAGTACAGTTCCCTGGGATCTATAGTTTGTGATCTGTAAAGACATTTCTTTATTGTAACATTAGTCACATTGTAGAATCATTGTAAAAGTTGATAATAAATTCGAAAGTTGGTCAGAGGAGAGCTTTTCACGTTAGGTCTTGCATCTTGGTCAATTTGTTGTGAATGTGTTAAAATAAATAGCAGAAGTATCCTATTTTGAATAAGAGCCTTTCTTATCTTGAGTTTTGGTTAAGAGTAATGTCATAAAAAATATTGTTAACCCAATTTTTGCCAAGTTTGATGAAATTTAGTGGATGGTTTTCCAGTCAGAATAATGAATATTTTTTTTTGAGAGGGAATTACAGGTGAAGGGCTTAACCTCCAGGTATATACATTTTTGAAACAGGAGGGCGTGTAATAATACAACTCTACATCGATCTGCCAACCACATTTCATCAAAACCAATATTCTGGTCTACCACGCTGCATCGTTTGTTATTGACTTTGATCTTGACTTACAGTATGATATTGACCCTTGATATAATTGGGCCAAAATCAAATCAGTTTTTCTCTCCTGTTATCCATTATACTTGTAAAGTGTCATTAAGGTCAGTCTTCATGCTTTGAAGATATCGTGTTGACACAAAACACAGGTGAACAAAAGGTAATGCGCCCTGTGAGCGGGAGTTAGATATGGGACGAAGTACTTACGCTTCTGTTTAATATGTAGTCACACTCATGAGAACATAAATTTATGCTGAAACACACACACACACACACACACACACACACACACACACACACACACACACACACACACACTTCCCCCAGTAACATTCATAGCAGACAGTAAAAGAAACGTTGTCCACTTTCCCTCCCTCCCTCCTGAGGACAACACTCACAGTAGACGGTGAGGGACACGTTGGCCACCAGCGGCTTCTGCAGAAGGTCACTACTGACGCGACACTCGTAGATAACGCCGTCGTCAGCGGCGTTGGCAATGAGCTGGAGTGTGTTAATGACACCGGTGGCGTCGGCGGTGGTGGTGTCATCCAGCAGGAGGCCCTGCCGGTGCCAGGTGACCCAGGGGCGTGGGTTGCCCCCTGAGACTCGGCACACTAGGGTCCTCCGCTCCCCCGCCACCAACACCTCCCCCGTCTTGTACCCACTGATGATGGGCGGCCCCGGCCGATCTGTGGGAGAGTGGGAGTCATTGTGGGCGGCCCCGGCCGATCTGTAGGAGAGTGGGAGTCATTGTGGGCGGCCCCGGCCGATCTGTGGGAGAGTGGGAGTCAGTGTGGGCGGCTCTGGCTGATGAGTGGGGGTCAGTGTGGGCTTCCCCAGCCGATCTGTGGGAGAGTGGGAGTCAGTGTGGGCAGCCCCAGACGATCTGTGGGAGAGTGGGAGTCAGTGTGGGAGAACCAGTGGGAAGGTGGACCTGCTGAATCTGTATGGGAGAAACTGATGTGTTTTGTAATATATAGTTGAATCGTCAGACCTTGGTAGGCTAAGCCAAATTGTGCAACGTAATATATAAACTCGTCTAAGGTGTGGAGATAATTCTTTAACTCTCCCTTGAGCGAGCGTCGTGTACCTCGTATGAACCCTGGACCTAACCCTTGATCATGTCACTTAGTAAAGCTGGTTAGGTTAAGAGTTGCACTTTGCCAGCTATAAATTCCAGGCTATTTTAATATATCTCTGAAATCTTTTAAGTCGTCATGAGAGTTCCACGAGTTTTTAAATCATTTATGGTTAACGAATCTTTATTATAAAACTTAATGCGATATTTAAGGTGTCTATGAACAATATTCCGACTAGCCCGTATGTCTAGTAAAGGTGTGCGTTTATATATTATACTTGTTTGTGATTAAGAGTTTCATAGTTGTCGTTTCTCACGACTCATTGAGCAAAACCTCACAGGTGACTTGAAAAACATCTAAGCATTACACAGTTATTGTTTAATGTTGGTGACCATTCCTTAAACTCCTTTTCCATTTAGTTGTTTTTAAGTTGTTGTGGAGTGAGTTACTTAAACTTACTAGTGAAGGCAAATTTAGTATTATGCTCCATTATATGATGACGTCATCGGAGACACTAAGTCCATCAACATAATCATATCATCAGAGACAAGACAAGACCAACAACACAATATTGCTTAGTCTCCAGCGTACATTAGTTTCCCAAGCAGTCTGTGAGCATCCCCATCAAGCTGCTCAAGACGAAGTTACTGTGACAAGTGGAACATGTAACATAATTACTCGCGTAGGAGCATCTCCAGCCCTGCAGAGTAAGTTATTCAATATCTCTCGTGGTGGTAATTACTGAACAAGCACACTGAGGAATATAACAACATGAGCCGAAGGGGGTCACCTCAGCCTCGACTCTCCTGGAATCACCTTAGTCACAGGTAACGGCAGGTCCTCCAGGGATCACTTCCCAAAGTAATAGGACTCCAACCGCAGACCACAGTGTGAGAGGCGGAAGTTTAGTGATACTGCTCATAACTCCCATTATGTGGGCTGAGTCTCGCTGTTGGAGGTTTGGTAAATGGATTTATTATTGGTAATTTTAAACTGGCTGTCTATTGTGTTAAAATAATTCTCAATCGCTTTTGTATTTTCTTGATTCGTTTCTCGACGCAGATATCACACGTATCAACTCCTTATTTTAGTCTCCCCAATGTTCTATAGTAACAGTAGACGCGTGTAGTGTATCCTGGAATCTTTTTATTCCTGAGGACTCTATACGACACTTGCCTCGGGTGTGTTTACTTGAGCTTTGAGGAGGAAGTATTCACCTAATCCTCCTCAGCCCCTTCCGGTATCTTGACAAAGCCGATTGTGTCGCCTTGAGCCCTCAGAGCCTTGCAGATTAGATTGTAAAACTTGTGCAGTGGTGTGAGACAAACTCGGTGTTAGATACTTCATTTGGCGTTTTATACTTGTATTATACATGGAAACATATCGTGTACTCTACTGGTAACCAAGACGCACTGAGGGTACTGCACAGGATGGTTACACGTATCGTAGGAAGACAGCATCATGAAAAAAATATTGGTCTTTGTATTGTATAACGGCTACGTATGGGAAGCTCCCTACATGTTCTGTTTTAACTACTATTAAACTTTACCTGTGAAATATAGTAACATCTTAACGATACAAATTACAAGAGAAGCATTACGATATGCGGTATTGATCTATGAATCATCAGGTCTTCCTGCAACATCGAGTAATGTAATGTACTGTAACATACTAAATCATGGATGAAGAAATAAATCTTGCTGGAATCAATAGCGTCCAGCCAGTTACTGAGTTGCCATGGTAACATACCTACTGTGCCTGTTGATTAATGAAACACAACGCGGGAACATTCTAGTCACGCAGTGGTTCCCAAACTTTTTCTGATCATTACCCACTTTTCATATATGATCCTTATCCATGGCCCCCCTCTCCCAATCCATATCTCTGGCTGGCTCAGCTGCTGACTGGCTGTTCTAGTGTGGTGGGGCTTGGGATTTTTATGTGTACATAGCCTCAGCTTATGGCCCCCTAAATTTTGCTGGGGGGCCATGGCCCCCAGTTTGGGAACCACTGTAGAATCTAGTGCAACACAACGTGACGGATCTATATTTTTTTGGTTGAATATCTTCCTTTTCTCGCAGTCATCACTACTTTATTCTGATACTTCGACTTCGTCCTGAATTCTCTATAAACTTCGCTCATTCATACATTGTCTTTCTACTGGTTCTCCCTCTGTCGCCATCACCAGCACAGTTTCCGCCCTCCCGTGATATAGTATAAGTTCATTCATGGTTTCATGACCACCTAGAAAACAGTCACGTTTTTTTTAAATTGAAAGTGGGTACCAAAGGCATGACAGCGTGGATACAGCTTTCGGTACAGCATGGCCGGTACTGCACAACAGCTGGGTGAACTAGGAGTGCCTGGAACAGTAGACGAGCACTGTATTTACTCGACCGCCGCGGCTTACTCCTGTTTTAATTAGTAACCTGTTAAACAAACCCAGATGAAAGACGAGGTTCTCAAAAAAAGTTCAGCACTTTGTGGTTATTTCTTCTACTTTATCTTCTACCATAACCTCAGAAACTTGATCAATCTGATCGCACTCCATCTCCCATTCAGAGATATTCCTGCAGCCTCCCGTCTTGACTCGAGGATCTTCCGGAGCATTTAAGACTTCCAACTACTTTTAAACTCAACCCATTCAAAAAAATTTCACAGTTAGACAGCTCTTTTCAGAAGCAGCTAACTCACTTTTGCTCGATAACCATTTTTGACTTCCTCTCTTTGCACATCACTTCAGATTTATTCACCAATATCAGGGACTTGTGTGCAGCTTCGCCAGGCACCGCTGCGTCACCTGCCCTCTGGTACTGTTGGTCTGACCGAGCTAGATATAACCGAGTTGCCGGAGGAGAAACTCTGGTGGAGAAATACACAGGACCACTCCTAGTAAAGGGGTATAACAAACGCTGAATGTGAGATATAGTTTGGTGAGTTGCTGGTCGTTTGAAACAGAGAAAATGCTGATAGCAAACGAAAAGTAATTAGTGTAAGCTAAGATTATTATTATGTTGAGTAAGAAAGACGTACCGTGAAGCGTCGAGTACCGGACACGTTTAGTTATGATGAAATAATGAATAATATACTGACGTTATTATCAACGTTCGTATTAATCAATATTTGTTAAATCGGGAGATAATGATCCAGGAATGACTATTTAGGGGTTGTTCACGCGGACAGAGGGGCACTCCGAGATACTCATAAAGTGATGGAAGATAATGACGCCGCCAACACAACTTTATACTGGTGCAGACTTTGTGAGAGAGAGAGAGAGAGAGAGAGAGTAAAGGATGCTTGATGTTCCGCATGACTTACACTTGAGAAGTTGCAGGTCATAAAAGGAGGGTTTTTCTCCGATAAATAGATAGACTTTAAGTCTTAAAAAATTCTCTGTTTTAAGGTACATATGTTTCGATATAACAAATTGCAAGTATTCCTTTTTTTGTGATTTTCGCATAAATCTTGGGAAATGTCTGAGAGAGACAGGAAATTAATAAGGCCTCTGTGAGGGCGGGGTGGAGGTACTCACGGAGGACGGAGAGAATGATGGAGGCCATCAGAGGATGGGAGGATTCCCTGAGGGTAGGGTGGTCGGCCTCACACGTGTACAACTTGCCATCATCCTCAGCCACTGCCGTCACCGCCAGACGACTCCTGATGGTCCATCGTCGTGGCAGTGATGATGCTTCCACCCGCTCCTGCACGAACCCTGTGGTGTTAGAGACCATCTTTTAGTGTTTGTGACATGTTCTGTGGTGGCTGAAAACATCTGTCTGACAGGTCTCTCACTCTACCAGTGAGAGACCTATCCTGTGGGAAGAACAGCTGTCCAGCTCCGAGATCCGTTCTGTGGGAGGGGGAACAGCTGTTAGTGTTGGAGACTTGGATTTCGTCAGTCCTGTGGTGAAGCACACATTTACTAGGATAAGTAAGCACATTATTTTACACAATTTATACGAAACTTACTCAGCTTCAGCTCATTATCATCCAAGCTGATTTATATTACCTTTTTATGTAGTTAACAAGAATATTGCTGTAATTTTCATTTCTCAAGACACCCCTCTTGCTAGGCTCTGGTCACCGGTAATTACACACAGTTTTCACCTAAAAGTATGTCTTCTTAATCCTCTGCATGAGGACATTACTTAATATAATTGCTTTTACCACGTCGTCAAGGATACCAAACAGTCACCAGTGATGGATCACATTACTGTCTACTGTACTTGAAACCTGTCACCGCATCAAGCATCAGTACACAGATCGTCCATGGTGGTGGGTGACATCTACTGTATGTGTACATAAGACCTGTTACAACATCTCAACATCACACAACACTGTAACTGCCTCGTACAGTGACAGAGCTTGATGTGGATCTTTTTGGACGAATATGATTAGAGTCCCTTGACAAAGAGGAGAATAAATAAATTAATCCACCGTGACACAACACCTTCCCTACATCATCCTGTGTATCACCTACCTACGTCCAGATGAAGATTGTCCGTGATCCATCAAACTTGGAAATGTTACTTACTTGGGTCGGGCATGAGAGCGTCCTTGTGCCACATAATACTGGCCACTGGGCGCGCGTCGGTTACCAGACATTCCAGGGTTAGTGAGGCACCAGCCATCACTTCCACCACTGCACCGTCTTCCCACCCGACGATATTGATACCAGTCGGAGCCACTGTAGGGAGAGTGAGAGATATTTGTTAGAAAATTAAATATTCTCGTCCTTAATATTTTAAACATTCGTAATCAAAATTCGAAGTGTAAGGGTGAATACTGAAAATATATTAATTTCAGAATGAAAACAAAACCTATTTGATTAATGCAATTTCATAATATACAATAATTGAGTGTCAGAATATTATGGAAGAAAGGGTAATTTTTTTTATAAGGTAGGTGTGTGTGTGTGTGTGTGTGTGTGTGTGTTTTACAAACCTTTGGGATTAAGATCTTCATTGAAAACAGGTCTTTGAATAAAAAAACTAGCAATCTCGTATCATTTTTTAATAGTTTGCCTTCATTATGGTTTCAGATTTATGTTAATAAGTAAATGTGGGACACAATATATGGACTAAAACTGGGTAAATAAATACATAAGCAAAAGTATAATAACAGACTGCCAGCACTGACTTTGAGGGGATAACTCTTACATCTCGGGGATTAATGCTTTGAGCCACTCGGAAGTTAAAGCGTAGATACAAGCACACACACACACTGATATTACTTGGTGTTATGACAAAGTTTTCGTTCAGGAGGGACAAGTATGTGCACCAGCCGCTAACTTACACAATCAAGCTTTCATGTTTCATATTGACATTCCGGAAAGCAAAGTAGCCTCGGAGGCGTCTCATGATATTGCGTGTAGGCGTCGTTAGACCTTCACCACACATCATCACACTAATGTTTATAAGCAACCTTCACCACACACATCACCACACGAATGTTTAAAAGCAACCTTCACCACACATACACATCATCATACTCATGTTTATAGCAACCTTCACCACACACACATCACCACACCAATGTTTATAAGCAACCTTCACTATGCACATATCACCACACTAATGTTAAAAGCAATTAGTTGTTTGTTGAGTGAAGCATATGCTGAGATTGTGTTGGGAAGACGAAAAAACTGATTCTCTATAAAAGTTGCAATACTCATATTTTTCAGTGTTGTGTAAATTTTGCCATGGGCGTTCAGTATTTTGGGTGGATGGCTTCATAATGGAGAGAAAAAACAAGAGTGATGGAGAGGGGGAATATGTTTGATTGACAAGAATGCAAATGACAGATGAACTTAATGTATTTTGCAAACGACACATTGGTGGGCGAAGCAGGTAAAATGTTGCAATTGTTAATGAGTAATTTATGAAGAGAGAGAAGTGTGTTAAAGGTGATTGGGACGAGGGGGGGGGGGGTATAGTATAAGGGAATATTAGAGCTGATATTATAATGTACGGGTGCAAGATGTTACAAGCAATAGTGACGATCTGGTAAAAGTGATTTCTTCCACTCTTCTCCACACACACTCCCTCACACTCTCCCAAACACTCCCTCACTCTCTCCCACATCCCCACTCCCTCTATACTCCCTCCAAACACACCACTCTCTCTCTCTCTCCCTCACACTCTCCCTCACAACCCAACTTACCAAGCACAGTGACGTTAGCAGAGGCCCAGATTGGTGGGTTAGTCTGGGTGGGGCCAACCTGACACTGATACTCGCCGTCCTCAGTGATGGTGATGCCGCTGATGACCAGGTGGTGTTGGCCCAGCGACGGGTCACCTGCGTAGGAGTAACGAGGATAACCTGGCACCTGCCGCTCGAACCCTGTGGGCACAACACACTCGTTAATGACACCTGTTAAACTAAAGATGGTTGGCACATGACACCTGCTGAGTAGTATGTTACACCTGTTGGCTGGAACATGACACCTGCTGAGTAGTATGTTACACCTGTTGGATGGCAGATGACACCTGCTGAATAGTATGTGACACCTGTTGGCTGGCACATGACAACCTGCTGAGTAGTGCGTGACACCTATTGGCTGGCACATGACACCTGCTGAGTAGTACGTGGCACCGTTTGGCTGGCACAGACACCAGCTGAGTAGTATGTGACACCTGTTAGCTAGAACATGACACCTGCTGAGTAGTGACACCTGTTGGCTGGCACATGACACATTCATTACTCCTGAAGCAGGTATGGCTATCAGCTCTAAGAGAAGCAGCTGCTGATTACTGTAACATGGCATAATTAATTTTAGTTAAAGATAAAGAGGTCATGATAGAAGTCAGGAAACTGTTCGACGGTCTATGAAGAGTTGGCGGACTGAAAACAGATATAATTAGAAAGTTATATGAGTAGTTCGATATAATACAGATATCTGCTTATTTAATTACTAAATATTGTCTAAAGAGATTCACATATTATAAAACATATCTCCTGATTATACAACAACAGCAATAAACACTGTACGATGCCTAATGTTAAACACTTCACTATAACCAAAGCTGCACAACATAGGATACTTCACCACACCACACCATCATCCTGCCCAGTCTGCCACCATCTCTCTCTCTAACACGGACACTGCTGTAGAGTCACGCCTGGTAGTTTTCCTCATTACCACGTTAACATTCTCCTCATTGCCCAGTATTAGTGTCATTAAGTCTCAAGAATCATGGCAACTTCCAGAGCTATACATACATTTATTGAGTAAAGCAATGGCCGAAAGCTATTTGCAAGTAAGATATGCATATGCTGCAAAACAGTGCACTGCTAAGTTACAAACTCAGGTTAAGGTAAAGAGTACTCAGATATACACAGAGCTCATTCTTTTCAGTTGCCAGTTGGATTTGTACTATACATATAGACATCGTATTTACACTGATGTTTATTGTATTATTTGAATATATTTTTGTGAAAAATAAAGGTTAATGAATTTTCTCACTTGTTAACATATTAGCAAATGTATTATGAATGAACAGCAGGACAATAATTCATGTAGACTAGCAGTACGCACGTCGTTGACTGGTGAGGTGTGGAGACTGGCAGCGGGCTCTTGCCAACCACAGTATGGCGGTAGCATGGCTGGCTGGCTTCACTCCCTACAGCGCTATACACCGCTCACGCCGCCTCCACCCTATTATACCTCCATGGTTTTCCTTCTCTCTCTCGGCATTAAAACGATATATCAGTGAAAATTCGTTACGAAATACAGAATCCGTAAAACCTAGCGGAGTATATACCATACATAAATAAATATGAAGCAGTGGAAGCAGTCTCATGGATTCATTGCATGAATTTTGTTTCGGCAGTAACCACATGTGATGCTCAGGTCTCCTCTGCCTTCTTGACAAAGCTAACATTTTTTTCTATTAATGTCATAATACTATATTGACAAGGTTATTTTATTAATTAATTTCAAGTTAACTGAATATTATCTTGTTCGTACTCCATTAATTTGAAAAATAAGTGTTACAGATGTAAGTGATATACAGTATACGGCAGGTAAATTAATTTCTTCTTTCTTCTAGGTAAGATCCTCGAGGGACAAGAACACGTTACCCCAGCACACCTCAGGTATGTGTCAAGTCATATTTTGTATCGGAGACAATCGTGCAACTTTTTTTATAACGCATTCAGGTGCCCAGGGTAGACCATGCACCTGGCAGTACTGTGGGTTTGTGGGGTTTGGCAAAGCGTATTGTAAATAGTAAAGGCGTTACCAGCTCATCTAGCTTCTTTTTTTCGACTTGCAAGGCTATGGCGTTATATAGAATTTCCTTGCAGCTGAAGCAGACCTTTACAGAAGCTTCGTTCTGTATCGTAGACTGAAGACAGTTCTGTTAGTCTTCAATAAACTTTGTACACACACACTTGGGTGTAACAAAGAAAAGCTTAAAAGGGCTCTTTTGTACAGATCATTTACCTCTCGTATATTCAAGTTTGATGACTGAGGCCCACCTATGGAACCAAAGGTGGTTCAATGGACGTCCTCTGTTTTAAAGGCTGGTGTTATCTTTTCACCAATACGCTCCATACGAAACACATCTAGGGTGGCCACCCCTCTGGGAAATCCCCAGGGAACTTTCCAGAGGGGTGTTTATAACGTCACCCCAGTGTGGATTTAGTTTAAATTACCAACTTGATATACGGCAGCATGCTGCTTCTATAACGGCTGTGACGGCAGAGTTGATAAAGTGGCCATCTTTTATCAACAGGGAGCTCTGACCCGCGCCCGGGGATCCCTATTCAACCCAGCTGTCTTTAGGTATATAACTTTCTTGTCATGGAAGTGCGGGCGGTGGAGCTCGTTGCCGACCACAGTCTTCCCGTTTATTGAAGGCTTAGTACTCAATGTTCTGCTTCCACACTATCCATAACAGGTGATCAGACGAATGGAACCTAAATTCACTTTTTACTGGATAATAATGGACAGCAAATCTTGTTATATTATCACGCTTGTAATTTTTATCAGTTATTCATATCAATATCCAGAACGGTCTCTCAGCATGGCTCTCTCTGGTAGTATCATCCACTATATTAAGGAACATTGCTTCCTTTATGGACCATATTGATGAAAAAGTGGCAACAGCCTTGTACAGCAGAGGGTGTCCACTGAACCCCAGAAATGGGCTCTTGGCTCCCCTCCCATAGGCATTGCCCCTGATAGGCTACAAAAAATGCTAAGTTTATGCTGTTTTAGGATATTTGTTTCCTTCGCCCGCACAAGTGTTTATGTCTAAATACCTGGTCGTTGGTACATCATGTCATATTTATTTTACTTTTGTGTAGAAGTTAATAAAACCAATACCATATATTTTGTTCGATGAGTTTGTTGCTTGGAGTATATTGTTAGATGACAGAGCAAAATATTCTGGTGAACAAGATGAAAAATAGCCAATTAAAAACTAAATTGTTATTCATTGACATAATCTAAACGTTATGTATGGAAAATGAATGCAATTTGTGCAGACTCAGAAGTACCATCTAGTGTAGACTATGAGAATATAACTGATGTATCTCTCACTTCTCTCAATAAACAGTTACGGCATTTTAAGGGGTCGCATTTCCCACCTGAGAGTGTCTGCAAAATGTATTGAATATTTACCACATTTTCTTTTGATGGATTGTGAAAGAACGACGGGAACACCGATCTGTTCATACTATAGTGGAGCATCAGTTGTGGAAAACGATATTGATCCTGTGGGCTGAAATATGCCATCCTCTTTGTACCGCGGCGCCAATGAATGCTTTTGGTTTTTCTTTAACTATCGGTTGGGATTGTATTTTAAAACCCAAGTAATTTTAGACAAGTGTTTTATCAGTGTGGTAAAGGAATAAGTTCAATAATGACAGTTTATAACAGTGACCCACTTCGAGATTCCTCACGTGAACTTATTCCGTCAACATATTTTGGCGTTGTTTCTGTTTAGCCACAATTTGTATTGGTCACACACTCATTCGCTGTTTATGGTTTTGTTCTCGTTGTAACCCCTTCAAGTAACGGCCTCTAGTGGTAGTTCTGCGCGTTATTCTAGCAGGAAGCGTCTCGTAACACTTTTTTACTGTGGAATCCATGTACGAGAGAGCATGCTAGGAATATTCTGTCAAAGTGAGATCAAAGAACATACAGAACGCATAGGAACGAAAGTAAAGAGAAAATGATGCAGCAACAATACCCGACTTGCAAATGTTTGACAGTGACAGATTTGTGAATGATGGTGACGTGGGAAGATGACGTTAGCCACAAGGTACACAAGACAACAGGAACACCCTTACTGAGGACAACGAAGGAGCTTAGTAACCAAAACTGTTTTCAGAGTCTCATACATCTTGAGACTTTTATCAGACAATATATGATTAGTTAAAAGCTGGACGAGTTAATATAAATTATTTACGAATATGAAGTACTTATCTCGTCTAGTCTTGCATCTGGGGGTATACTAACCTTATTTCGTCGAGTTAAGGAGGTACTGTACCTACCGAGATGATAGAGTTTGTATGGGGGCACAACCCTGTAACATAACATTACTGGGAACCGAAAAAAAATATTCCCCACAGAGGAGAGTGTGTACACATATTAATCATATATTCTTGAGTTATTATTAAAGAGGAGAACAACATTGCGTACCTTCCCGGCAATGTTTTCAGTAATATTCACGGAAACATCCAGCCTTTTTGTGTTCGTTGAGCTCGAAAATTTTTGAGGATATATCTTATTTCCATAATATATTATATTTTTATTGCTGTGTTGTTTTTACACTGATGTAATGATCTGGTTGTATACAACACATGCTATGTTATTATTGTGCTAAGCGTTTATAGTAACCTGTAACACTTAGTGATTATCTTTATTCACAGTTGTTTTTGAGTAACTTTAGCCTTGTTGGGGTTGGCCAGTAAAGAGCTTTCTACAAAGATTTTCTCTAGTTTGTTTTCATGACTGAAATATTTACTGGACATTTATTCACTTCATGAAACATGGCGAGCGTTTTTGGCCATTCAACGAGATTTTAAAGTTCATAAATATAAAACGCGTGTATACACCCCAGCACACAGGAATAGCATGAATGCGCATGTACACACATTTACACATTATGTATATATATGTAACTTTTCTTTTTTTTTGCGAAATCGCTTATTTTGAAAAATTCCCGGTATGCATACTGGTAATTTTGCAAAATAACTTACAAACAGGCTAACCAAAGTTAAACAAAAAAGAACAGGACCACTTAACTATGTATCAATCTACACGAGCCATCTTAACCTAACCTCTCACTTAACCTAACCACAAGGTTAGGTTAGTTTAGGTTGTCTGTTTA